GAGGATAGAGAATCTCTAATGCAGTGTCACCACCCACCTAACTACCAGCTCTATAGGAAACAAGATGCTCCCAAAACCATGGCTTCAGAGTCTCTTGAAAGCCTGTGCACAAATAACCCCTCCTCCTTACAGTTAATTCTGGTCTGAGATTTAGTTACAGATATGAGAAAAACAGTCGGGGTACTGGTTGTGGTACAGAACCTGATAGAAAACACTGTAAGTTCTGACAAGCCATGATTGGTTGGTTGCTTGTGGTGATATCAAAAGGAGGCATTATGATGAATGTTAGCAACTAGTCCATGTTAGGCACTGTCTGAATGGGGTTCTTGTATCTTGGAGAAGCCTACACAGCAGCTGGACTGACACGGATAGATTAGGAATCTCCAATCTGCTGTACCTTCCTAGAGTAAGTTTGTTTCCAGTTTGTTGGTTTTGTTTCCATGGGTTAAGGTTTGCTGTTCATAGTTACATTTATATTATTGGTTTACAACCAAGGCTTTATTTGTAAATGTCTTATCTATTTCTTCATTATTGCCCAATTTCTTATTTGAAAACTTGTTTATTCCTTTTTAAAATTTAGTTTCAATTTTTGTATGTTAGAACATTTGTTACTGTATATTGCCCATAAGAATTTCATTGTAACATTCCAATACATAATAAATGGATAAAAAATGGGTTAGGTCAATTTCAGGTAAGAATCACATCTCTTAACCAGTGTGTAATGGTTGCTAGTTCTACTACCAAAGACACACAGGCACACACACATGCACTGAATGTCTCTTGACTATTGTATCCATGAGTCTTTATGAAGTAGAACATGAAAAGCAAAATGTTCATTGATGCATCAGAGACAAATTCAAGTCTCTGCTAAGCAATGCTTCTTAAAACACCCCAACTAGGAAATCACTCAAAGACCCACCAGGTGAGCCACTGATGGTCTATCTAGTTAATACCAATCAACATGGTGGTACAAACCAATTCACACCATAGGCTAGAGGAATCTACACCAAAAAAAGATGCAGTCTAGAGAGATGATCAGGATGTACAAGCTCGAGTCCCTGAGTTCAGATAATCTCTACACCCTTAAAAAAGCTAGGCTTAGTGGCAGGTATCTGCCATCCTAGGCTTGGAGGACATGAGACATGAGGACCACAGTGACCTTCAGGAATGATGTGAAATTCTCAACCAGTAAGGGATTATGTTAAATAAAAATGGTCAAAATACCAAAACAATCTGATTTTGAGGTCTCATGAGTCCCAATAAAAAAGATTTTTTTAGAAGTATACAATTTCAAAATGTCGATTATACTTTAAGTCCTTAATAAATAATTTAAGTTTTTAAAATTATTATGTATTTTTTCAGATTATAACACAATTTCCCTCTTCCCGTATTTCCTCTTTCCTGACCTTCCACAAAATCATTCTTTGTTTCTGTTAAATTCACGGCCAGTTTTTTGCATGAATGGATGAATGGTTATTACGTGTATATGTGTGTGTGTGTGTGTGTGTGTGTGTATTCCTAAATACATAGCATATCCTGAAGAAAAAAAAAACCATGATAAACAACAGAAGTGTGACTAAAGATTAGATCCATTTGCAAAAAAAAGAAAGGAAGGAAGGAAGGAAGACAGACAGAAAGAAAGAAAGAAAGAAAGAAAGAGGAAACTCGAAGTTTAAGACTAAACATGATACGGCTTTAACCCTTGGAAGTTCGTAACAAGCAAGAAACACACAATTTGAGGTTCTAAGTATGTTGCCAACATTTTTGCATGTCACACCAATAGAAAGGCTGGAGGTCTATGGCAGCAAGTGGATAAGTACTGGTACTACGATTGACTGAAGGAGCAGGCATTTGGGGGGAGACTGCTTGGTGTGAGACCCAGGAGGAACATGAAGAGGAAAGGAAACAGTGTGCTCATCTCTCTGCAAAGGAAGTAGGCACCCAGGTGGAAACTGAGTCTGAGAGAACATGTACACGGCATTTACCGGAAGATGAAATCTATTGTAGAAATTCTCCCTTTCGGAAGAATGCTTACACACAGGCCCTACCTCCACTGGATCTTTACTCATGAGGCATTATGGAATGTGTTCTTGGGAGATACAGCTGGTTAGAGGAGGGTGGTAAGAGTCACTGTGCAAAAAGGGCATCAGAGGTGGGCACTATGGCTTAGCTGAGGAATCCCAAGCTGCCCCATTGACACCTACTACAGCAGGCTTGCTTCTCATGGCTTCATTCTCCTCCCCACATTCCCACTACTTATAAATCTATCTCCCCTCCTCCCTTCTTCCCCTCATCCTCACTCATCCCTTCATCACATTGTTTCTTCCACCCTCCTTTACCTTTACCCTGTTGTTCATCTTTCTCTCCCTACCTATTTGCTCATCAAATTCCCACAGTGCTCTTCATCTGGGTCTGTACTAGGTATCTCTTAGGCAGCAATGATACAGGGGGAAATTTCATAGGGAGACCTAGAGTAAACAGCATCAGGGTGACAACCCACATTCAGTCAAGGAACGGACCCCACAATGACAGAAGCTCTGCCCCAACAGTAACAGGTCTCCTTCATGTCACTTTGATATGTGTCCAGCCCCTTAGCTCTGTCCTTCCCTGACTGACATTCAACAGCAGGGCCTCTTTCACAGGCTAGTACAACATTCTACTGACTAAAGAGCTTCATCAAAAAAAAATCCCATTTTCCTACTGGGTTGTCTTTCTCCTAATGCTTTATGCAAGTTCTTTAATTAACAAGGTCAGTCAATTATTAATACACATACATCCATACTTATCATACTACACAAAAGTCAACTCCAAATGGATCAACATAAAACCTGATAGAAGAGAATATGGGGCATAACCTTGAGCTCACTGGAACAGGAAAATGTTCTGAACAGAACACTGTTAGCACATGCACTAAGATCAACAATAATTGTGACCTCATAAAATGAGAAGCTTCTGCACAGCAAAGGACTCCATCATTCTGACAAAATGACAGCCTATAAAATAAGCTACAATTTTCACCAACTCTGTAGTGGCATTTAAATTGTATTTTAATAGACTGCCTGAAGATCTGAGAGTGAAACAGTCCCACTTGTCAACCCTACAGACCAGATTATGGTAACACACACCTTTAATCCCAGTTGCCACACTAGTTGCCATAGAAACCAGATGGTGCATGCCTTTAATCCCAGCCCTAAAGAGGAATATAAGACAAGGGAAGACAGCTCTCACAGACAGTCTCCTCAGATTCCTGGAGGCAGGATCACCATTTTTGGACTGAGGTCAAAGTAACAGCAAGTGGGCTGGCTGTTTTGCTTTTCAGATTTTCAGGTTGAACCCCAATTTCTGATCCTGAGTTTTTATTAATTGTGCTTCACAACTCTACACCCAATAGAAGGCTAATATTCACAAAATATAAAGAACTAAAAAAATAGATACCAAAAAAGTAAAAACAAACAAACAAAAGCAAAATCCCTTAAAATGGAGTACAGATCTAAACAAAAATCTCAAAAGAGGAAACTCAAACGATGGTAAAACAGTTAAAGCAATGTTCAGTAGCAGAAAATAAGTAAGGTTGTGGTCACAGGCCTAACAATGTCAGTTACACCACCTCATCTAAGGTTCTGGGAACACTGAAAAAGAGGAGGCAGAAAGGAAATGAGAAGGGAAAGGGGAGGAAGGGTTAAGACATGGCATTTCTCTAGACTCCATACAGGAGTTGAAATCAGTAACCAACAGCAACTGTGCTTACCTGCACTGACCTCACAATAGACTACAGTCAGGTTATCACTTCTTATTCAAGAAGCTTTTCTTCGCAACATAGACCACTATAAAAAAACCCTAATGAATGAAAATGCAAACTTATGGAGGCCAGGTGCAGTGGATACTTCTACAGAACATTCCTGTACCTAAGGGCTCAAGGAAAATTTTGAATAGGAGGTAGAAAGATTTTAAGAACTACAGGTTCAGAAATTTGATGTGAGATTGTGTCTCCTAATAATGCAAGATGCTACTTCCATAAATATCTCACCTACATGACCACTAAAATGAAGCTGAGCAAGACAGAAACAATGGACATACAAAAATGCATAGGGAAAAGCCCACAAACCTCAACCCTGCACAGAGAACTACAGATAACTGAGGAATACTGGGAGCAGGAGAAATAGTCTCAAGGGAAGAGCATGCTAACTGGTTATCCAATATCAAATAGTCAGCCTTGAAAACATTCATTCAAGCAACATTATATGACTTTGTAGAACACGCGTGTTATTAAGGAATGGGCATTGGCTAACATATACTAAATGTTTAACATGGCATGGGACAGGAAGAAAGAAGAGTAGGAGGGTCAATCAAAAGAGTGTATGAAGAAGCCTTATGAAATACCATTCATTGTCTTACAAGTTAATCGGAAATGCAATGCAAAAAATTTTGAACAGAGGTATCCTACATGGACAAATAATGCTACTCAGAGACACCAGGGCTATTAAATGGAATTCTCTTTACCAGTTAATAGTTATCTGCCTAGGAGGCCCCAGAGACACCCCAAACAAAGCATATCATTGCTCGTGCTATTGCCTGACCATTTTGTTGTTGAAACACTAAACATTTTGGTTCCAAGATAGAGAGAATGCAATCTTGAACTTATGAGGGAACTCTCCTTGCTAGCAAGCTTTTGTAACACTGCAAGGTCCTGTGATGGCTGCTATCAGAGAAAACACATCAATGGTCTCACCTTATCCTGGACCCTGCATCCAATATTATCAACCTACAAGCAAGGATGTGTGTACACTGGTGTAATACTGGCACCACTGCCTACAGGCATAACCAACTTCTCCCTTGATTGAATTTGAGGTTTGCTTCATAAAAGGGAATTCATGAGCTGTAGTATAAAAACATGGTAAAAACAAACAACATCGCTTGGAGAATAAATTGATGTTTTGTTAATGATCATGCAGTTATCTGCCATCTAAATATTCATGTCTATAATTATCGATTTTCACTACTTTCAACCTTGGTGCAAAAAGCCTCCTTTGCAGTTGGTAGTGGGTAACGCACAGACTTAAACTGCCCCAAAAGTACCAAGAACAGTTAACTGTGTAAGATTGGGACAATTATTATCATTTCATCATGGCTGAGTGGTGAGGAGGGGTGGTCTCATAGAGTCTCCTTTCACTCCATGAAGGTCCAGTAGCTGTTAAAGGCAGTTATATTGTTTTCGAATAGAGTGAATACTTAACTTCTCTTTTTTACTTTAGGAGAGCATTTTCTTGTATTCTTTCATGGTGAATTTGCGTTTATGTGGCCAATTTCAGCACTGGGGAAAAAATTTAGCAAACTGAATGCATTTCAGGGGTGGAATTTCCAATGAACAGCCACACATGGGGATTATATATGGTTTCCCAGAACTATAAATTTTGTGATGTGTTTGTCACATACCTATGTTACAACATTTTTGTCCCCATGATTTTTTGTTGTTCAGACAGTGTTTATGTAGTTATGGCTTTCTGTGAACTCACTATGTAGACCAGGATAGCCTCAACTCATGGAGATCTTCCTGGCTTTGCCTCCTGAGGATTGAGATTAAAGGTCTGTGCCCCCACACCCACCATTACTATGAATCATTAGATGTTGAACACGTTGTTTCTAGTGCAGCTTTTGGAAGGGGCTGGAGATATGGATTAGTGATTAAGAACACTGGCTACTCTTTCAGAGGACCCTTGTTCAATTCCAAACATGCATTTATTTTTTTAAATCCACCTTTAGGGAAATCTGATGACTATTTCTGACCTCTCCAGGCACCAAGTATATGTAGTGCACAGAAATATTCACATACAGTGCAATCACTCACACTCACACACACACACACACACACACACACACACACACACACATGCACACACGCACACACACACACACCCCAAAAGGAAAAAAAAAACCAAAGCCTTTTCCAGTTACTTTGCAGAATTTTATTTTCATATAAATCCTGTGAAATTTGTTAAGATTTAAGGCATTCACAAGTTTCTTATCCTTGTTTCTATTGTTGTGAATTCCAGATAATGTTATGTCACATTATTTGCAATGGTATTTTTCTCAACAGAGTGAATTTTTTGGTGTCTTCTGAGATTCAAAATCTGAATAAAGGACATGTCACATTCTTTGCATTTGTATGATATTTCTCCAGTATGAAGTTTCTGATGTTTTTTAAGATGTGAGTTACGGGTAAAAGATTTGTCACATTCCATACATTTGTAAGGTTTCTCTCCAGTATGAATTTTCTGATGTTGTCTAAGAGTTGAGCACTCAGTAAAAGATTTGCCACATTCCTTACATCTGTAAGGTCTCTCTTCAGTATGGACTCTCTGATGTGTTCTAAGATGTGAGTCCTGGGTAAAGGATTTGCCGCATTCTGTACACTTGTAAGGTTTCTCTCCAGTATGCATTTTCTGATGGCGTTTAAGTGCTGACAACTGAAGAAATGATTTTCCACATTCTCTGCATTTGTAAGGTCTCTCTCCAGTATGAATTCTCTGATGTATTCTAAGATATGAATCCAGGCTAAAGGATTTGCTACATTGCCTACATTTGTAAAGTTTCTCTCCAGTATGAATTTTCTGATGATTTCTAAGATTTGAGGACATATTAAAAGATTTGTCACATACCTCACATTTGTAAGGTTTCTCACCAGTATGGATTCTGTAATGCCTTTTAAGATGTGAGGATTCAAGAAAGGACTTACCACACTCTTTACATTTGTACAATTCCTCTAGAGAATGAGTTTTCTGATGTCTTCTAAATGATGAATAGTGGGTAAAGGATCTGTCACAGTCATTGCATCTGTACGGCTTCTCTCCAGTGTGGAGTCTTTGATGAGTTTTAAGACTTGAGTACTGAGTAAAGGATTTTTCACAAACGTTGCACTTGTAGGGTTTCTCTCCAGTATGAATTCTTTGATGCTTTGTAAGAGTTGACTTCACAGTGAAGGATTTGTCACATTCCTGACATTTGTAAGGCTTCTCTCCAGTATGAATTCTCTGATGTTCAGTGAGACTTGAGGCACTACTAAAGTATTTCCCACATTTGTCACATTGGTGTGGTTTTTCTCCAATACAGACTGGTTGTTGCAAAAGACTATGTGCAGTTGCAAAAGAGTCATCATATTTTCCCAGTCTGTGCTCTTTCTTTGCATTGTGGACTCTCCGATCTTGAGTAATGTTGGGACACATATATAAAGATCTCTCACAGTCTCTTGATTTGCAAGGTTCTTCTCCAGTGTGCATGCTGTCATGTCTATCTGGGTTTGAAGAGTCAATAGAGTCATCCCTGTGATGACTGCATCTGTAGTTATTAGAGTTTTCTGTAGTTTCACTTGTTCTATAAAGTGCACATGTGGAGGGGTCATGAAGCACTTTGCCAAGCTCATTACACTGACAACACTGCTTTTCATTCTTCACATGGTGATGGCCAGGATCACATACGCAATAGTTCTCTGAAAATAAGTACAGTTCAGATTAATAGGGCTTATTCCAAGATTAAACACTTGATAAATGATTGTCTTCCTATGTTATCTTAAGATAAGCGAACCAGCAACTATTTAGAATAGTTCCCAGTAGTCAACTTGCTTCATCACTGTAATTTATGGATTCTCACAAATACAGAGTGATAGCCTTCAAGAAAGCTGAAACAGGTAATTGAGGAATCAGTAATTTGCTTTAGGCTAGAGCTTACTGACTGATTATATTTAGAATATATGTCTCTATTTTTAAGTATTTTTTCTCAGAAATTGATTAAGTGGAGTTTATTCCAATCCTAAATTCACAGTGTTTACCTATCAATGTATAGCTAAAGATTATAGTTCAGAATACCCAATTCCTTTTAACGGCTTATTGAAAAGCATCAAAGGGTTTTTTTTTTCCTAAAAAGCACATTAGATTCTTCAAAAGTAATATATGCAAAGCAAGTATTCTGCCAGATAATATAGTTTCTAGATCAGCAGTGCTCAACCTGTGGGTCATGACTGTCTGAAAATACATTATTTCCGATGGTCTTAGAAACTAAGACATTGCTTAGTAGCAAAGTTACAGTCAAGCATTAGTAACAAAAGTAATTTTATGGTAGGGAGTCAACAAAACACAAGGAACTATATTAATGGGTTGTTACGGTACCAAGGTTGAGAGCCACTCACTGTTCAAGATCACTTGGGAAGCCAGGGCTTATTTCTATCCATGATTGACATACATGCAAGGAAGGCAATTACAGAATAATCCTAATTCATGGACTCACATTAGATGTAGAATTTTATAAAATTATTCCAATCTACTATCATCAAAAAAAATTTTATTTTGGACTAGTATTAAGTCACCATTATTCAGGTGTAATAAGACACATCTTCTAACAATTACAATAGGTAGGATGCATCCAGGACACTATATATACTAAGTTCAATTATCAGGAATACTTTTCCAGTGGAATTGAATATTGCAAAAGCATTCTCAGTTCTTTCTTACTCTCTCACTTAGAAGTCTTTGCTGTTGTTCTGCTCACTCAGTAGCTTTACCCTAGTCACTGCTATTCTCTTCGCTCCACATGTCAGAGTAATCTGATTTTTTCCAGAAGGCTGACCAGGCCTACCTTGCATACAATAAACCACGTGTTCTGTGAGGCAACCCATGAAACATGCTAGAACTTTTAGAAAGAAAACAGATGTTTAACACAGTACTGTGGCCAGTACATGAAGAGAACATAGTAGCAAAATATAGGAACCATTTCCCAATTGGTATTTACTGTCAGACTCTTCAGCATATGTAGGGAAAATTTTCAATTTGTATATCTTGAATTTTTCTTGCAACTAAAACAATGTCAAATGTAATGCAGACATCGAGCTTTAAGATGTGAGTGGAAATATTATATGCTACTGAGTTTCTGAATGTCTCATGGAACTGAAATGAAGGGTGTATGACACCTATAAAATGGAGAAGAAATAGAAAAAAAAACAAATACCAAGATAAAGATCTTTTCTATTACCAAGCATTCCCTAGTCTACTGTTGTTTTCAAGACAGCCTAACAGAGAGTTCACAACCTATAAAGTAAGTACATACAAAGCCTGAGTTAGGAATTCTATAAGCAAAATGTTCTCACCTACAAAGACCAGATTCCTGTAATTCTCCAACATCACATCAATGTACAAAGTCCTCTGAGCAGAGTCCAGGCATTCCCACTCCTCCTGGGAGAAGTCCAGAGCTACATCCCAGAGTGTTAACAGACCCTAAAACACAAAGTACAGTTTGTGTTTCTGCTGGACAGAGAGTGCTTTCCTGGACATAAGGAGACTTAAGGAAATTTGGGAAATAGATGAGTAAGACAATTATTAAAAAATGATTTCTAATATAGTCACATTTTATAATGGGTTTTCTAACATTGTGAAAACAGGATGACAAAATAGTCTCACAAGCAATATACAACACAATTAAAGTCTGGACACTATTGTGGGAATCCAACAGCCAACTGTATTGGGGCGGTTAAGGTGTATGTGACAGGATAAGAACTGAAGTTGAGGGTTACATACCCTCTTGGATGGTGTGGGAGCTGGCAAAGTTCCAGTTTGGAGCTTCCCCTTTAACCTTTGATAACGGGGTTATGGCACAACAACAGAGAGCTGTTTTCCCAGCTGGATCAGAGGAGCAGCTGATGATGCAACCTGGATTCCTCCTCCTTCTGTCTTGCAATCATTGCACATGGATTTGATACTAATAAAAGGATTCCAACAATGCCATTGAACCAATAAACACCACTAGGAGATCAACTCTGCGCTACTAACTACTCAGGACAATTCAAAGGTGTCCACCCTCTTACACCACTCAAGCTACAACTTCAGATAAGCTTTACCTACTACTCAGAGACTGACTATAGGTTCCCACGCAATACCATCATCTCCCCCAGACAACAGGAAGTAATTTGAAGAACATGATGACCCCTTTTCCCAATAGGTGGAGTGGGTGGTTTTGTTTTTTCTCTGGGTTACAGATAATTGCCATCTGTAGGGGGTTGGTAATAAGTTGCTATAGGGCTGGGGTGTAACAACAGAGATTATCTTGGTGATCTTATTTGGAATAAAAAAAGGATAAATATGATAGGATAAGGTAGATTATAAAATCTACTTTAAACTAAAAAAGCAACCATTAGTTTAAAATAATTTATATTGGTATGGATTCTTTTTTTTTCTTTTTTTTTTTTTGAATTTGTGATTTTTTTTTATTGAGAAAAGGAGAAAAAAAAAACAAGTTTCCACCTCCTCCCAGCCTCCCATTTCCCTCCCCCTCCTCCCACCCTACGCCCCCTCCTCCCACCCTTCTCCCCCTCCCCCCACTCCTTTCCCCCTTCCTCTCCAGTCCAAAGAGCAGTCAGGGTTTTCTGCCCTGTGGTAAGACCTAGGACCTCCCACCTCCGTCCATATCTAGGAAGGTGAACATCCAAACTGGCTGGGCTCCCACAAAGCCATCACATTATGTAGGATCAAACCCCCGTGCCATTGTCCTTTGTGTCTCATCAGCCCTCATTGTTCGCCATGTTCAGAGAGTCCAGTTTTATCCCATGCTTTTTCAGTCACAGTCCAGCTGGTCTTGGTGAGCTCTCAATAGATCAGCTCCACTGTCTCAGTGGGTGGGTGCATCCCTCGTGGTCCCGACTTCTTTGTTCATGTTCTCCCTCCTTCTGCTCCTCATTGGGACTTTGGGAGCTCAGTCCAGTGTTCCAGTGTGGGTCTCTGTCTCTATCTCCATCCATCACCAGATGAAGGTTCCGTCCTGATGGGATTCCTCCATTGGTATGGATTCTTATATACTGATACAAATTCAGTTATTTTTGTTAAAATGTACAGTTTTTATTCCTGTTTATATTTTGTATATATTGATACAAATTCAAAATTACTTTTGTTACTATGTCCCTACTTATGTTTAAGATACCTTTGTATATTGATATAAATGTAAGACTACTTTTATTATACTGTATATATGTTTCTGCTTCTGTTTAGGATATTTTTACATATTATTGCAATTTAAGGTTATTTTTGTCATATTGCATTACATTTCTACTCTGGTTAAGACTTTTTTTATATTGTCACAAATTTTAAGATTATTGTCCTTATATTGTACATATATTTCTATTTTTGATGAGGTATTACTTCTACAGCTTGTTTATTTTTGTATTATGAAGCTCTAGTCCTTAGATTATAAACAGGTTAAAAAGAATTACAGGTTAATAGTCACCCATGTTTGTCAAATTTATAGTCACGTTAGGTAGGTCTTCTAGGTGCAGAGATACATTCCAAATAGATATAGTATCCAAATAGGTAATCTTCAAACACTTCAAAGACCTACAGAATATGACATTTAATGTTTTAATAACTTAGAATTCTTTTGACATGAGACAAGACTACTCCTGGAAGCACTGACCTACTTCTATGAGGATGATAGGCAGAGAAGATACTCCATATGAAGTTTGTTCTTCTTGGCAAATCTGGTCTATTGGGCAAAAAAAAAAAAAAAAAAAAAACTGCCCTTGCCTTGACTGCTGACATTAAGTATACTGCCCAATCCAGATAAGCAGGACACAAGGACAAGTGACTACGAAACTTTGTCAAGTCAGGGTAGGACAGCCCTTCAAATTTTCCTGCTTCTGAAAATGATGTCATATATTGTAGGTCTATAAGCCAAAGTTAGATGCCCCAATGTTACGGATAAACCTTGGGCAACTATCCAGGCAGCTAGTTATTTCTGTCATTTCTCACAATTTTTGGAATTTGCTTGTTTGCACTTTCTGTTTACTCAGGTAATACTGTTTTCCTTCTTATTTCAAGAGGGAAAAATAAGAGCACAGCCACAATCAAAGCAAAACAAACTTTCAACTGTCTAATATCTGGGATCCAGTCATGATCTTCTGGAGTCCTCCAAAAGAATTGTACACTTCTCTGACTCTACCCTCTGAAGCACACACAGCTTATAGTGCCAAGCCTCAGCTGCTCTCCATGACCCCTTCAGGCCTTCAACACCCCCTGGGTGATGCTTAGACATTACTAAGTCTTGCTGCCAGAAGGAGGTACAACCATGGCTGCGTCTGGAACAGTTTCTCTGTACTCCCAGGAAACATTCCTAGAAGATTTTACCTCAGTGATCCTGGTCTTTTCTTAACCACTAGTAATTTCTCAGCTCCAGCTGACCAGCACCAAGTATCCCAGCAAAGCAAAAATTTGCTTTAGTATTTCTGTTAATCACAGTTGATTTCCCAGTCCCAGCTAACCAGAACCACAGGATCTTAATTCAAAATAACAAAAGACCCTGATAGAGCTTTTAAACTTCCCTTTGAAATCTCAGAAGCTTGGCCTCCATCTTCTGTACTGCTCTTAACATTCTTTTTTTAATTAATTATTTTTTAAAAAAAAACTCTTTTCTCATTTTACATACCAATCCCAGTTGCCACTCCCTCCCCATCCCACATCCAAGCCTCAGAGAGGGTAAAGGCTTCCCATGGAAAGTCACAAAGTCTAGCACACTGCTTTGAGGCACTCCCCACTATATCTAGGCTAAGCAAGGTGTCCCTCCAAAGAGAATGGGTTCCAAAAAGTCAGTACAAGCAGTAGGGATAAATCTTGGTCAAGAGCAAAGAAGTCAAGACCATGATGGCTCACTGAAATAGCTTACCTGCGCTACTGGGAGTCCACCAACTCCAGACTGACAGCAAGGGAACCAGCATAGGACCAAACTTGGCCCTCTGAATGCAGATGACAGTTGTGTGGCTGGGGCAGACTGTGGGGCCAATGGCAGTGAGACCAGGATTTATCCCTACTGCTTGTACTGGCTCTTAACATTCTTAACATCTAAGCTCCTAAAGAATATCCCATAGAGCTCCTAACACTCAATGGTTCTTCTAGTCTGCAGTTCCAAAGTTCTACAATCCCTCCCAAAAGAGGGGCTGTCACAGCAATACCCCACTATGCTAGCACACATCATCACTGTTGCGATATTAAACACCAAAGAGACATACAAGTAGGCTAGCATCTGAAAATACACACAAGAACAACAATTCCATACATACACCTGTCATGTTCAGCACCCTATAGTGTGTTTAAATGTTTAGTATTAGGAATTAAGTATTACTTAGTATTAAGGTCCAAGATATAAGTCTCTTAATTCCACATATTTCTAAAATGTTGTTCCAACTTGTGCATGCGTTTCGATATGCATTTTTATAACCATGATTCAAGGAAATCAGATGGATCTCAGAAATAGAGCCTACATGACACATAAACCCTGAATCAGCAATCTATAAGGATACAGCCTATCCTCTATAGCAGTTGGGCATCAATATTATTTTTGATCATGTGTTATGTGGAAATGTCTTCAAAATTACATGTCATAAGTGTATGTGGGATATTTGCCGCCACTCCCCTCCCCAAATCTGGAGAGAGCAGAATAGAGGTAAGTGCTACAGGAGATGTGGAAGTATAGAATTATATTGTATAGTTATAGTCATAAAGAGAGTCTGGTATGGGAGTAAACATAGACAGGAGGGTAACAGAATGGACTCGAGAATCCAGAAAACCATTAATCCATGCCCATTTAATATTTGGCAAAGAAGGAAAAGATACATTAGAAAAATATGGTCTTTCCAACAAATGATGCTTGTAAAACTAGAACTAGCAGGAGAGTATAATTAGATTCTTGGTCTTTCACATTGTACAAAAATTCATTCAAAATGGACCAAAAATCTAATTTAAAACCAGACACAAAGAATCCTAAGAAACAGGGAATACAAACCAGGATATTCAGATGGACAAGGACTTATAAATTAGAAAGAACACCAAGAGTACAGGAACTGAGCCAAGTATCAACAGCTGGAACTGCATGAAAATAAAGAGTTTCTGTTATCAATGAAAACAATCAGCAAAGCACAAAAGACACCCCACAGAATGGGAGAGAATCTACACCAGCAACACTCTGAATAGGGGCTCCTATACAGATTTACCAAGAATTACAAAAATTGAATACCACTTCAGTCAACAAATGGGGAAACAAATTGAATAGACATTTTTCAAAGACAGAAACAGGAATGATCCTAGGGTCGCTAAACTGCCACCAGAGAAAAGTAAACAAAAACTACTTTGAAATACTGCTTCACTCCAGGCAGAATGGCTGTCATCAACTAATCTCACAACAAATGTTAGAGAGGATGAGCAGAGTGTAATTAATTGAGTACCAAGCCCAAACCCAATGAGAGAATGGCCAACAGATGGTGCGACCTCAAGAGTTTATTATGTGATGGACTCTGGAGAGAGATGCACTCCATCTGCAGAGAACATCTGTCTTTTATCTGATGGACTCTGGCGAGAGAACATCTGTCTTTATTATGTGATGGACTCTGGCGAGATGCACTCCATCTGCAGAGAACATCTGTCTTTTATCTGATGGACTCTGGTGAGATGCACTCCATCTGCAGAGAACATCTGTCTTTATTATGTGATGGACTCTGGAGAGACACACTCCATCTGCAGAGAACATCTGTCTTTATTATGTGATGGACTCTGGCGAGATGCACTCCATCTGCAGAGAACATCTGTCTTTATTATGTGATGGACTCTGGAGAGATGCACTCCATCTGCAGAGAACATCTGTCTTTATTATGTGATGGACTCTGGCGAGATGCACTCCATCTGCAGAGAACATCTGTCTTTATTATGTGATGGACTCTGGCGAGATGCACTCCATCTGCAGAGAACATCTGTTTTTATTATGTGATGGACTCTGGAGAGACGTACTCCATCTGCAGAGAACATCTGTCTTTATTATGTGATAGACTCTGGAGAGACACACTCCATCTGCAGAGAACATCTGTTTTTATTATGTGATGGACTCTGGCGAGATGCACTCCATCTGCAGAGAACATCTCTCTTTATTATGTGATGGACTCTGGAGAGATGCACTCCATCTGCAGAGAACATCTGTCTTTTATCTGATGGAAGATGCACTCCATCTGCAGCGAACATCTCTCTTTATTATGTGATGGACTCTGGAGAGACGCACTCCATCTACAGAGAACACCTGTCTTTTATCTGATGGACTCTGGAGAGAGATGCACTCCATCTGTAGAGAACATCTGTCTTTTCTGTAAATTTTGTTTCTGGGCAAGCAAGAGCAATGAGGCAGATGAAAAGAAGTTAGCTTGAGCTGTATCACAAAACTCTTTAAAAATTTAAAATAACAGACATGACTCCAGCTGTGACACAGATTGAGCAATTTTATATGTAATCCCTTTCCTGTGTAAGCCAGTTTGAAGGACTTTGGATGCTAGCACCTTCTTTACAACACACTGAACATAGGTAAAGAACAATTCAACCCTTGGGTTGATTTCCTTTCTTTTAGAGAAGACATTTTTCTCCTAGTTCACATCAATAGGAAGTTTTATTCATTGTTGGTGTGGGTGGGAGGGTGGTGCAAATTAGCACACTCAAATAAAATCAGTTTGAAGGCTATTAACAAATTAAAGACAGAACTAACTTAAGTCCCAGCTTCACATCCCACTATAGAGATATTCACACCCCATGGTCAATGCTGTATGCACAATACCAAAGAATTGTAATCAACCTAATTGTCTATCCACAGATGAATGGATGGTGAAAATGGTAATACTAGTCAGCTGAAATGTATAATAAAAATTTGCAGGAAAACATGGATTCATAATGTTTAGAGTGACATCATATTGTATTAGAAAAAAGAAACCATGTTTTCTTTCATATGTAGAATCTAGCCACTAATATGTGTATTTGGGAAACAACATGCACGTGGGCAGAGTAGAATATGGAGAAAAGAGAACAAGAAAGGTTAAATACCAGTGTTGATCTAAGACTGAAAGCAGATAATCAAAATCAGTTAGGAAACAAGATATAAAGCTAAGTGTTTTTCTAGCTCTAATGTCAGAAGTTTTTTTTTGGTTTTGATGGTAGATAAATAGATCAAAATATACTGAATATTGAAACTATAAAATCCCATGTGAGGCTCCAGACCTTCTGTTCCTGATAATTACTCCAACTGTATAAAAATACATTGAGGTGTAAAGACTTTGAGCCTGGTAAATTTCAGCATGTAATTTTGTTTGTTCACAATGTTTTTCATAATAAAGTTAAAAAAAATCAGCAGCATAAAATTAAAAGCTTTCAATGTCCCATGCTATAACATTTCTGCCAAGAACAGGGGACACGACCACTGACCTGGAACAGATTAACTGGAGAATCAGCCATTTCTTTCAGTTTATCTTCTGCGAGTTTCTCTTTCAGGTACAATGAATAGATGGCTTGCTGACCTTTCATATTAAGGGATCAAAAAGAAAAAGCAAAAATTAGTAATAAAAGCTGTAAGAGAAGAATGTCAAACCACATGAAAAGACCCAAGCAGCAGAATTCTACCAGGTGTCTAGTCAAAAATCCCAAAGCCAGAAAAACATGGAACAACATTTGCAGCTTGAACAGAAAATCACCATCAACAAGACTGCTGCACAAAGAAAAATTCTACCTCAAAATTGATGGAGACATGAGTGCATTTTAAGACAGTCATGAATTAACACAGCTCATTTTACCAAAGCAACACTGTAGATAAGAAATTAGAGGCAAAACATATACAGGAGAATCAGATGAATTATCCATAAGAACATGGGAAATAACTTTCATGTGAAGAATAAATAAATACAGGAGAACTGGAAAGTAATCATCCATGGGTAAGCTAGCAAATCACTAATTCTCATAAAATAGAAAGAAAATCACTCCCAATATAATCCAGCAGCAACAACATAAAAAACAAAACCATAGGGAAGAAGAACCCTAAAAACAAACAAAAAAAATCTAGCCACTCTGAAAACCAATATGGAGAATTCTGAAAAAGTTAAAGAAATCTAGTACATGACCCGGCTGTACCATTCCTTGGCATATGCTCAAAGGACTTGACATGCTACTCCACAGATATTTGCTCACCCATTTTCATTGCTGCTCTATTCACAGTAGCTACAAAAGGGAGACAACCTAAATGGATAATGGAAACGTGATACACATAACCTTTGGAACATTGTTCAGGGATAAAGAAAATTGCAAGCATGAGCTTTGCAGGTAAATGGATGAGCCTAGATAATATCAGATTGAATGGAGTAACCCAGACAAAAAAAGGCAGAAATTGCATGATCTTTCCCCTAGGCAGTTCCTAAGTCCACATCTTCAGATGTGAGTATAACCTGTAGAATACAGAAAAAAAAAAAAAAAAAAAACCACTGTGGGGGTTGGGAGAGTAGGAAACAAGCGATCTAAAGAGGGAAATGGAAAAACGGATTTAATTATGGTGAAGGGACAGATATTAACAAAGAAGAAGGAGGATAAAATAACAGTAAGATTTTGGAAATCGTCCATCTACCAAAAATGACTATAATAAATATGTCTGTTCAGGCATATACATTCATGGTGTAAACAAAAATTTCCCATCTAGGCTGATAATGCTCCCCTAAGATATTTTCTAACAAAACCACCCCCACAAGGCATGAGAAGTCTGTTTTGAAATTTTTATTCACAGCTCTTGCTGTTATCATGGTTACCTCCCTGAGGTAGAAGATGAGATTCCCTTATTACTGAAGAAGTCAGGCACTTCAGACATAGAACCCAAATGATGTGAGATGGAACTCACCTTAAAACCTCCTTCCTGGGGATCAGCTTTCATGGTATCAGATGGCAACATGCAAGCTTTCAAAGTAGAGAGCCAACCAACAGTCCTCAGCTGTGACACCTATGAACCACACTGCACGATAACCCCAAGGATGCACAAGTAGTACACATACCTTGGTGGTAAACAACAGCTTCTAATTACACTTAAGACCCTCTCAACATGGGAGAAATCATGCCTGCTGGAAACCTAGCTAGTTTCACTAGTGCCAGGGGAGCCAAGGATCTTGGAGGAAAACTACAACCACAATTTTACCAAATCAGCATAACCACTAATTTCTTTCTAAATATTTATCTTTATTATTATTATTATTATTATTGACAGGGTTTCTCAGTAGCTATGGAGTTAGTCCTGGAACTCATTCTGTAGACCAGGCTGGCCTTGAACTCAGGATCCACCTGCCTCTACCTTTGCTGGGATTAAAGGTGTGCACCACCTCTGCCGGGTTATCCTTATTCCCACAGATAAATGTAGTCCTCACTCTTCATCAGTGAAAGTTTGTTGTGCAACACAAGGACAAACAGTCAGGCAAAATGTAGACTTGTGCTGTTCACTCCCCACTGACACGGGGTGGGAATGTTTTAAGAGCCAGACAAAAAGGATGTTTGCTATGAGATTGTGTCTCTTAGAAAAGTCAGAGAAGCTACATGCATGAACTTGTACAAACATGGCTGCCTAAACATGAGCAGAACAAGGCCAACACCAAGAGACATGCTAACATGGAAAGAGAAAGCTCACTAGGCCTCAACCCTAGTCAAACACGAAGGAATTCTGAGAGCTGGAGAAATAGTCTCCCCAAGAGAAGAGTGCACCACATGGTTATCCAATACCAAATCTTCATCCCTGAAAACACAGACTGAGTAGGTTCTATTTTTATGTTTAGGAATACACACAAACATACAGCAACAATGAAAGGAAAAGTTACTAATGAATAATAAATGCCTGTGTATCACCGAATCTTCATCCAGTAACTGAAGGAAGCAGATGCATAGAACCACAGCTAAGCAATGAGCCAAGCTCCTGGAGTCCAGTCGTAGAGAGGGAGGAGTGATAATATGAGCAAAGGGGTCAAGACCATGAAGGAGAAACCCACAGAACAGCTGACCCAAGCTAATGGGAGTTTACTGACTCCAGAGTGACAGCTGGGGAACCTGCACAGGATTGAACTCGGCCCTATGGATATGGGTGACAGGCTTGGGCAGTTTACGGGGCTACTGGCAGTGGAACCAGGATTCATCCCTAGTGTATGACCTAGTTTTTTGGAGCCCATTCCCTATGGAGGGATACCTGGCTCAACCTAGACACAGGGGGAAGGGTCTTGGTCCTGCCTCAAATGATGTGACAGACTTTGTTGACTCAGCATGGGAGGCCTCAAACTCTCTGAGGAGTAGATGGGCGTGGGATGGGAGGAAAGTGGGAGGAGAAGGAGAAGGAGAGGGAGAGGGAACTGGAATTGGTATGTAAAATAAAATGATTGTTTTTTAAAAAATTTAAAAAACAACAATAAAGGGAAGATTTTATATCATTTAGATTAAAAAATTCTCTATTATCACTACTCACATAATTAGACTTAATAGAGGGCTAGAAAGAAGGCTCAATGGTTACAAGCGCCTGTTTATTTTGCAGAGAACCAGGTTCAAATCTCAGACCCCACATAATAGCTTCCATCTCTCCATAACTACAACTCTAGGATGCACATGATAAGTCACACATGCAAGCAAACACTTGTATACATAAAATATATGAACCGAAATAAAAATGAGTACTAAATAATTAGTGAGAGAGAGAGAACTCCTAGAATTAACTTACAAAACAGATGAAAGGTCCCAATTTGAAAACTTTGCTGAAAAAACTAAAGATGCTAACTAGACATAATAGTGAAATTCTCAGTATTTCTGGAAGTGGCTTATATGATCACCTCAAACTTCAGGACATTTAAACGTCCTCAACCCTAGTCAAACACAGAAGTAGTAAGAGAAACCTAAAATTCGTATTGATGCACAAATTCCCCGGGTACAGAGCAGCCCCAAGATAATTTTACAATGCTGGAGCTAGCTACCTGTGATTCCAGATGACATTACAGAGAGCCACATAACCAACAGCATTATGGGAGTGGAGAAGACACACATTTCAATGTATTAGAGCAGTAGTTCCAGAAAATGGCCAAAACCAATGATCCTGTCAATGTCACCAAAGTACCACAAACACATGTAGCAGACTACATGGCCTCTTTAAACAGAGGTATTGGGAAAAGTTATCTATCTGCATATAGAAACAAGGACCTGAGTTCAAATCTCTCCTACCATTCAAGAAAACAGAGCCTTCATGTATGATTTGAAACAGTGAATTCTGCAGAGCAACACAAAGGGGCAAACTTTAAACAAGAGCAGGAACTGACAAATAGTATTATGTAAAATTAAAAACATCCAGGGAAATGGTAATAACTAAAGTTTGAAGAGACAGCCTACACAGCAGATATGTTTATTAGCTACCTATTTATACTACAATGGATAAAAACACAGAATCAAAAAAATTACAAAGAAAGCAAATGATAATATATAACTGACTGGTAAATAAACAAATGGATTGAACACACCATGCTCAACAGTAGTTGAAATGGCCAATTTACTTAAAGTACATATTAAAAAGTTCTATATTGTAGGTCATAAATAATGTAAATTAAATATGAAGAAGTTCTAATTCTCTATTTAGTGTCCATATTCTCGAGTTCCTAAACTATAATGTATTTCTTTCACTAATTTCTTGAAATGTAAACGTATACTATTCAAACAAATGATGTAAAAAGACTATAGCATTCAAAAGATATGACAGCTGAAATTAAAACATACTTTCTACCAAAGATTTATTACATGTCTAACCAAAGATTTATTTCATATCTAAAGATCTAAGATACAGAGGAAAAAGGAATTTTTTTTAATGTCATAAATAAGGGCAGCAGTAAGGAAGACTGATGATCATAAGTAATATAGTAACAGAAAAATTAAGGCAAAAGCTGAAGACAAGGAGTGGATACCAGTCACCAATCCAGTTAAGGACACATGCCTAGTTAAGGACACAAAGATCAAGTCCATGAAGAGATCTACCTGTTCTTGCCCAGTAAGGAATCTGAGATTACTGACTTTATCCTGGGCACATCAATAAAGGATGAGGTTCAAAAAATCATGTCAGTGCTGAAGATGGGCTGGCTAGTGGAACAGGATCAAAGTTTTTGTCACTATTGGGGACTATAATAGTCATGCTGGTCCTGGTGTTAAGTACTCCATAAAGACAGTCACTGGCATTCCAGGGGTCGTCATCTTGGCCAAGCTTTCTATTGCCCCTATATGGAGAGGTACTAGGGGAACAAGACTGGCAAGTCCCACACCATTCTGTAAAAAAGTGACAGGGCTCTGTGGCTCTGTGATGGTGCCTCTCATCACTGCCCCCAGAGGCACTGGAAATCTCTGCTCTTAGGCCCAAGAAGCTACTGATGATGGCTGGTACTGATGACTGCTATACACTGGCCAGGAGTTACACTGCCACCCCGAACAACTTTGCCAACTCCATCTTTGATCCCATCTCGAAGACCTGCATCTACCTGACCCCCGACCTCTGGAAAAAGACTGTGTTCCCCAAGTCTCCTTGTTAGAAATTCACTGACCAATATGTGAAAATCCACACCACAATCTCAGAGATTCAGAGAAACCAAGTCCACCACGTAAAGTTTTCAATACAAGAAAAATAAAGTGAATTATGTCTGTTTGAAACAACTCAAAATGGTGTTAAAATGAAGCATTAGATAGAAAGTGCTTTGATCAACATGGGTGCACGTCACAAAACCCAGAATGTAGACATCCACAGCAGACAAAAAACGGGAGAATACATAAACAGGTGAAAACTGGCACATCGCCTCACGTTCTTTTCCAATACAAAAAGACAAGGAAGTCTGCCTTCTCTCAGTCTCCAAGCAATTCCTCTAACAATCCTATTGCACATTTTACAGAAAGTAATCCTGAAAGCGCCAAGGAAGAGAAAAGCTGTAAAAATACCTAAAAGATCAAACTTAGAGGTGATCTCACAGTATATTACATTTACAGCAATGGAAACCACTTGGAATTGTCATGACGACAGTGGCAGATATCCATGGGAAGAGAGCAAAGACGGAGTTCAACAGTCTGTAAATATACTTCCTGATTCTTATCAAAACTCTGTTGGCATCATTTTCAGGAACAGAGAAATTAACACCAAAAGGTAAAGAATGTGATAGAATACCAAAAGTTTCAAGATTCTGAAAAAAGGGAATAAATCTAGAAGTCGCAATTTTGATCATTTTGTAATACATTACAATCACAGACATGAAAACCAATTAGTATTGGTATGATGACATGATCAGTGATGAGAATGGAGTAAGGACAGCATCACTCACATGATCGTCAAATACCACATTATTTGCCTGCGTGTCAATTCTTCCTCAGAGCCTCTTCCTACACCTACAACAGGATAATCCTAAGGAGACTTTTCTCAGTGGAAACCTCCAGAATTATTTCTCGTGAAAGAAAATGTGACAAAATTGATTTCACGTCCCACTTCCACATTCACTTGAATACCCTGCCATCCCTTCACCAATCCCTCCACCATACCTGGATCCTTAACCACTGCCGCCTCCTGCTCCATCTTCCAGGGTTCTGTGTTCTCCACGGGTGAGCAGGTCTGGGTGATCAGTGCGCCCTGCGAGTGACAAAGAGATTGTTCAGGCTGCACGCCGATGTCTGACACAGTACTGTGCACAGGAGATAAAGAGAAAATGAAACATGATTATGCAAGTGATTCTCGAATTGTCCTGCAGTGTCAGAATACTGAGAATTTTTAGAAAGCATCTTCAATTAGTGTCACTTGAATTCCACTTTTAGTCACATCGCAGTCAAATCTGAGGGGTAGAAATGGGCATAAACAACTGGAATGTGAATATATACACTAATAAGGTTCTGAAATAATCATGGACCAAAACCGATGGAAGCCTCATACCTCCCAAAGGGACTCACAAGATGAGAGAACACTTCATCAAATTTGTCTCTGTTCCTCTGAGGATTTCACTTTACTCTGTGAGACTCATTCACACACAGCTTACACACTTGCGGACTGGTTTGTCAAGACACCTGAGGAGGAGCAAGGGAGATGCAAGCAGATAATCCTCACCCTCAGAAACCATACTGCTGCAGTTCTGCAACATCCAATCCCAGTACAAAGCCCTCTGAGCAGGCTCCAGGCATTGACCCTCCTCCTGGGAGAAGTCCACAGTCACATCACCGGCTGTCAACAGACCACAAAAGAAAACAAAAACAAAACAACAGTTTGAGCTATCCTGTTAGTGGGAGAAAGAGGTGGGTGGAATTCTGAATCTGTTACTTCTAGTTCAGCCTGGTCTATAAGGTGAGTTCTTGGCCAGACAGAGCAATATAAGAACAACAACAAAAAACTTAGTCATGTGTCCATGGAAAAAGTACTTTTCTTGATCCAAGACTATATTAATTATTCAAAATGATTTTTTAACATATTGTCCTATAATGCTTGTTCCTTCCTTTCCTTTTTTTTTGGGGGGGGGGGGTTAAGACAGGGTTTCTTTTATAGCTATTACTGTCCTTAAACTTGCTCTGCATACCAGGCTGGCAATGCAATCAAGAGCTCCACCTGCCTCTCCCTCCCTAGTGCTGGGATTAAAGGCATGTGCCACCAGCATCTGCCTTACAACGGCTTTTCTAACTGTGGAAACAGTGTGAGCTGATACCCTCAAACAGCATACTTTGCTTTCTGGACTCTACTAGCAACATTCAGAACTCAGGACAAGAAGACACATTCCATTTTTGTTGTTTTCTTTTTTGAGACAGGTTGTCACCATATAGCTATGGAAGTCCTGGAGCTAACTATATACACAAGGCTGGCCTCAATCTTACTGAGATCCACCTGCCTGTCCTCTAGAGCTCTGGTATTCAAGGCCCGTGCCAAAAGGTCTGGCAAAGACACTTTTCAGAATGTTCTATTTGCATCACATAGTGCAGAGGTCTCTGATGAAAAATTAATAATAGGTAAAACATTTTACTTTTACTTTTAAATATTAATGTTCACAATCATAACTGCGGGCCTCGCAATTATCTATAAACAGATAGATATAGATACTATATATATCTTGAAACCAGCCAAATCGACAACTATCCCTTTCATGAATAATATCTAAAACCTCTCCGGGGATGTCAATTCCCCACGTACATGTACCACTCTCTTGACTAGGTAAGCGGTTTAACACGGAAGTTTGCATGATGAATGTGCATTTCAAGAGCTTTGTCTTATCCACAATAGCAAACACACACACACACACACACACACACACACACAACCCCGCATTTTCAACAATCAACAGATAAATTCAAATATTCTACTATATTATTTTTATAAGAATATTTTGGCAATCAGAAGATAATTTTAAAAAACAGGCTTATTTGACATGATCTAAAATACACCAGGGGTAAGACATCCACAGCAGAATTTCAGAGCCGGCTTCCATATGAGCGTCAGAGAAACAGCTCGCAGCTCTGGTCCTTCCCTCCTGGGTCGCAGACCAGCGGCTCCTCTGACCTGGGAGGTTCCAGGGCCGCCGGGCTGCGGTTTCCCCCACAGCTGACTACTGACTTTTCCCAGGCTGCCCTGCGGCGACTGCTGCTCCGGGGAGTTTTCGCGTCCCCGCGGCACCCCTCCGCACCCAGGTCTGCACCACGCGGTTCCCCATTGTGCAGGTCCCCGAGCAACAACAGGGAATGCGTACTCGTCACTTTTGTCTTTTGCTCCTCCGTATAACTTACCCGACCTCAGCTATCCTCCTTCCCATCTTCAATCAGGTATCTCCTCTAACCCCGCCCAGCGTGCACTTCTTCTACACCTGACCAATGGCAAATGATTTCCTCCTAGCGCTCTTTCCGATTGAGCGTCTCAGCCCCACTGTGACTGGTCTCTCTTCCTGCACCTCAGGCTGCCTTTCACACAGCTCCAGCCCTCTGGATGCCCTGGTCTCATTCTGCAGCAGCCTCCGTACATGTTTGCTGCTAGCCTAGACCAGAACTGTGTCCAGGAGGACGCTACACCCCCCTTCCTCACCATTTTATCCTGAGTTTGACCATTCCGGATTAAAATTGTTCCGTCTAATACCTCATTTTGGGAGTTTAGTTCCTGGCCTATAAACTCATAGAAAAAGAGAACAATCACCCCAAATCCTTATGCTCAGCTTCCATAGTCCAAACACAAACAAAGATGAAATATTGCTGCCCAAAAGCACCATTTCCATAGCTGTGTCCCCTAAGGAGACCAAAGTAGATGAAATATGAGAAACAGAACACACACACCAGAAGTATATTCAATGAGGTCAAAGTACATAGACGAAGAAAGCCTCTGATGTCAAAGGGGACAGGAACAAAGAAAGTGATTAAGAACAAGCAAATGGCTTGTCCTGGAATAGCGAAGACACTTCAGGCTATGAAAACTCAACTCAAGGAGTTAGAAACACCAAAGAAAATTCAAATGAAAATGAAAAAAGAACTGAACAATACATAATAATCATAACAGTAAATCAACAAAAAACCTCGCCACGGGAATAGATCAACTAGGAGACAGAAAATCAGGGCTTGTAGACAAGGTAAGAGACTCTGCATCACTCTGTCAAATGAAATGATAAATTTAAAAAATAGGTGCTCCATGCAAGTAGCACTAGTAAAATGTGAAAGTGAAATTCCAGCTGCAACTTCTGCATTGTGTTGCAGAACTGTCATCACAGAGAGCATTCCTGGGAAGCTGGATAATCATTTCATTCACGCTACAAATGAAGTGTCACTAAGAACCACCTTTATCCCACCCTCATAGTTCCCCACTATTAACAGCCAGATGCCTGGAATTCCATGGTTAGCCATATCAACTTTAGGTGGGGAAGACTTTTCAGAAACACTGGATTTCGAAAAGAAGTAGGTGTCTCTGTAAGTTGCTGGGCTAAACACTGCCTGATTTTAGTGGAATTGCTTTGAGTTTCCCTCCATTTAATTTGATTTTGGCTGTTAGCTTGCTGAATTTGCTTTTATTGTGTAGGTATTTCCTTGGTATCTCTAATCTCTCCAAGACCTTTATCATGAAGGAGTGTTGAATTTGGTCAAAGATTTTTTCAGCATCTAATAATATGATCATTTATTTTTTTCTTTCAGTTTGTTTATATGGTGTATTACATTGACTGATTTTTATATGTTGAACCTTCCCAGCATCTCTGGGTTAAAGCTCTTTTGATTGTGCTGGATGACATTTTTTATGTGTTCTTGAATTCAATTTGTATTTTATTGGGTATTTTTGCATCAATGTTCATGACTGAGATTGGTATGATAATTCTCTTTCATCATTGAGCCTTTGAGTGCTTTAGGTATAAGGATTACTGTGGCCTCATAGAAAGAATTTGGATAATGCTTTTTGCTATTTCAATTTTGTGGAATAATTTGAGGAATATTGGTATTAAGTTGTCTTTAAAAGTATAGTAGAATCCTGTGCTAAAACCATATGATTCTGGGATTTTTTTTTTAAATTGGGAGACTTATAATGGCTGCTTCTGTTTCCTTAGGGGTTCTAGGCCTACTTAAATTGTATAGCTGACTGGGTAGTGTTTCTGCACACCTTTAATCCCACCACTCAGGAGTCAGAAGCAGGTGGATCTCTGTAAGTTCGAGGCCAGCTTGATCTACAAGAGGTAGTTCCAGGATAGGATCCAAACTACAGAGAAACTCTGTCTCAAAAATCAAATAATAATAATAATAATAATAATGTTTAACTTATTGTTTTAACTTTGGTAAGCGGCTTCGATAAAGCAAATTGTCCATTACCTTTAGTTTTTCAAATTTTCTTGAGTACAGATTTTGAAGTATGATCTAATTTATCTCTAGATTCCCTTGGTGTCTGGTGTCATGTCCCCCTTTTCTTTTCTGGTTTTATTAACTTGAATATTTTCTTTCTGCCTTTTTGTTGTATGATATTTTGATTTCATTCTGAAAATAAAGCTTGTTTTGAGTGAGAGGGCGGAGCTAACCACTAGCTGACCACAGTTAAGTTTAGAGGTATGCAGGGCTGTGGCCAGATATGAAAAATGAAGTAGTAACATAGGGCAGGGGGGAATATCATCCCTTTTTGGAGGAAGAAATGAAAGAGGAAAGAAGAAATGAAAGAGGTAGCTGCTGTCCTACTCTTTCATGTTCTTACCCTAATACCTGACTCGCAATTTTTTTTATTGACAAAGAATAAATAGATAAATGCTTCAACCAGTGCTCAACATGGGGCACGAAATCGCAAGATAGCCAGGTGCTGTTGACTTTGCAGTCATCCGGAGCCATGCCTGGCAGTGCCAACACCCGTAGGTTGCCTTGGTTCCCAGAACCCATGATCGCTCACAACCACCTGTAGCTACAGTTTTATAGGATTAAATATCTTCTGGCTGTGCACAAGCATCTCACATGCATGAAGTATAAAATACATACAAGTTTGCTAGCACATATAAAATAAAAGTAACTAAATTAGAAAAATATTTGGAGTTCATTTTTAATTTGTACGTCTACTTCCAATTAAAACCATATCAACTGCAACAATGGAAATGGAACGTTAAGATACAAGTGGGAATATATGCCACTGAGTTTCTGAATGTATCATGGAACCAAAATGAAAGATTCATGATATCTCAAAGTGGAAAAAGATAAGGAAAACGCAAATACCATGAGAAGTTATTTTCTACTACCAGAATTTCCCTAATCTCCTATAGTCTCTAAGACAGTTTCACAGAGTTTACGACCTACAAAGCAGGTAATTATAAAGAATGAATCAGGGATCCTACAAGCAAAGTATTCTCACCCACAGAGATCAGGTTACTGTAGTTCTCCAACATCACATCAGTGTACAAAGGCCTCTGAGCAGAGTGCAGGCATTCCCACCCTTCAACAACTCCACGTCAAACAGATCCTGAAAAAAAAAAAAAAAAACCAAAAACTATAGTTTTTCCCAGGAAAGTGCTCTGTGGGGCAGAGAACTTTTCTGGATAAAGAGAACATAAAGAAAACCGGGTAGTGGTGACTCATGCCTTTAATCCCAGCACTTAGGAGGCAGAGGCAGGTGGATCTCTCTGAGTTCGAGGCCAGCTTGGCCTACAAGAGTTAATTCCAGGATAGGCTCCAAAGCTACAGGGAAACCCTGTCTCCAAAAATTAAAAAAAAAAATAAAAAAGGAAGGAAGGAAGGAAGGAAGGAAGGAAGGAAGGGAAAACATAAGGGAATTAAGTATAGATATGTGATGTAGATGAAGCGTGACAATTGCTAAGTAAGATGCAGTCTAGAGGGGCTACAGCAATGGCTTTATAATTAAGAATCTGATCGTACCAGACAACAGCCATGCCTCTGGTACACATACTTCCAGTCAAAAAAACTGCATGCTGTGGAGTAATCCTTCTGTACACTGTGGATATGGATATGTCACTATGATTGGTTCAACAAACAAGCTGACTGGCCAGTAGCTGAACAGGATTAAGTTAGGTGGGAAAGCCAAACTGAGAATGATGAGATGAGGAAGGGCAGAGTCAGAGGAGAAACCAGCATGGCTGAGGAAGGAGGATGTGTACAAAATGAAGTAACAAGTCATGAACTACATGACAGTACATAAATTGATAGAAATCGGTTAATTTAAGTTATAAGTAATATGATTTATGGTGGGAAGATGCTGGCAGGTTCCCCTCCTGGTGTGGGGAACTGCGGTGTGTGGGAGACAGACAGATACACCATGCAGAGAAAGCTAGGGTATAAAGTTTGTTTAGTGGTATTGTGAAGGGTAAGGTGGTTATGGAGGGGAGAGAGAGAGAAATAGAGGGAAGGAGAAAGAAAGAAAAGAGGAAAGAAGAAGAGGGGAAGGGAGAGACAAAGGCTTCTTCTTCAGAAGAAGGATAGAAGAAGAGAAAGAAAGAGGAGGCATGAGATCAACTTGCCTCTGTGAGAAGGGACAGATTGGGAGTGGGTGGGACTTGTCTCTTAAAGGGACAGGGTACCCAGGTGACAGGGCAGGCCACTGGAATTATAATTACAATAATCAGAGCTAGCTAAAAACAAGCCTGAGCATTTAAAATTAATATAAGCCTCTGTGTGGTAATTTGGAAGCAGCTCCCAGGACAGGAAAACTTTACCTACACACCCACACACATATAAATAAAATTTAATTAAAAATGCTAGAATAATTCAATCCATACAATGTGCTTTCTAATACCATGAGAATAAAATGACCTAATGACATAATGGTCTTACAAAATAGATTTTAAGGAATATAAGATATAAATTCAAGTTTGGAAAAAAGGATGTACCTGTTCTGAAGGTCATTTTTTTTCAAGACAAGGTTTCTCTGTGTTTGTTTGAAGAGCCTGTCCTGGAACTTTATCTGTAGACCAGGTTGGCCTTGTACTCACAGAGATCCACCTGCCTCTGCCTCCTGAGTGCTGGGATTAAAGACATGTGCCATCACCACCCAATCTGAAGGGCATTTTTAATGTCATAAAAGACCATAGAGTACATATCTCAAATGGAAAACTTGTGAAGAATGAAATTATGCTTTAAATGCTATAACTTTAGCTATTGCTCATGTATTAGTACTGTGTCAATCTTGTCTGCAACAGGGCCTCAGCTGCCTGTAGACTAATGTTCCCAGGCAGGATGTTAAGGCCCAGGCTCAGTGTTGCATTCTCTAGAACAGAGGTAGAAAGTAGAAGGCAGAATCCTTGGATAAAGTTGGAGACAAAGGGATTTGGTTTTATCACAGTAAGGACAGTAACAACAGGCAACAC